CCTCGCCCTCATCACAAAGCCTTACCCAACACTCTTCAACACCCAAAAACATGTTGTAAACTGTTCCATGCAGCTCAACAGGTACTGAACAGAATTACATCTGCACACAGCTTCAAATGACGTGGTGATTGCTGTGTGGTTTTCATCACGTGTTACAAGACCAGAAAGGTTCAGGTTCAGTCTTTACTCATGTCACTTGTTTTAGACTGCAACCAGACAACATACAGTCAAAGTTTACTTGTGAAAACCACGTATATGATGGCAGTCTTTAGTTACCAGTGACTCCTATAACTTGTGTGTCTTTATCACAAAAAACATTGATGCAATTTGGTTCTCTCATAGTCTAAAACTTACAAGTATATATCGTTTGTAGTAGAAAGAAAGAAAGTAATAATAATAATAATAATCATAGTACTAATGTCATCTGCAGAGGTAAAAGAGTTACTGGTAGTAACATCTGCATTTTCTAATCTCACAACCTGGAAGACCTCGAGCCTATATTGCGCTGTAAATGATCTGGAGCGAGCATCTGGACAAGCCAACCTAACTGAGCAGCTCACCTTCCCATGGAAGATAGCTAAACAATGAAAACACTGTTGTATTCAACATGTACTTTGCTGGATTAGAGCATTTATAACATGAAGTCAGGAAACAAAATGAATTTAACCTTGGCTAACACGTAAAAGCCTGAGACAATAACTTAGTAAGAGCTCTGCTTACCTCAGTGTGTGTCTTTAGATTTGAAGGTGAATTTTTGAAGCCAGTAGTTCTTTTCTTTGACTCAGAGACCTGCGACTAGGGTATTTCTATGATTCATTCCTGGAGGCTATAAATCTAAACATTTCCTTTAACTAGAGCGGGGGAAGAGGGGGGGATGAGTGAGCGACCCACAAACAGGTGCTATACTCCCTGATGCGATTGTGGGTTTGAGTCCCAAGAATGACCATTTACTCCCCCACTCTTCTCACTATTCTGACTAGTAAAGGCAAAAAGACCAGAAAAAATCCATGATTGTTGTTTTGTGACAGACGCCTGTGACTCAGTGACTCCAGCGGAGAACACCCAGAGTTACCAGAAACTCCAGACCGCCACATGATCCCCACAAGCGTATGTAAACTTTTCTCCGTGACTGTAGGCCTGCAGAGTTCTGATGATCCTTCAGGAAGACGCGCTGTGTCTTCAGGGCCAAGGGTAGCTTGACTCAGGGGGCTCTGTGTCCATACTGAATGTTGTTGTTCAAATCACACCGGGCCGGGATAGCAGTACCTGACTGGTTTAAACTTCCAAGGCAGAAATGCAACCAACGTTTTGGTGACTGATCAATCACAAAATGCAACGAGGTGCTTTTTGGAAATGTTGTGGAGCAGAAAGTACAGAGCTGCTTAGACTTTCCTACTGCAGTGAGTGTGCCTGGATCTCATGAGTCTATCAAACTGACCCGATTTAAACTGGCTCAGAGGAGTCAGCAGCTAAAGTCAATTGCAATCAAAGAGGACATGCCAGAAAGAAAATTTGATTAACACAGCTTTCTTCATCACCAAAATCAATCATTTAAGTTGGTGTGTGTATATTTTTGAACCAGCATGTTTAGCCATATTCCCACAAGACCAATAATAAATGTATGAAAGAACCAAAATGCATGATTGACTGTGCGTGTGTTTTAACAATTCCATCACAGAAAGCAAAGAGTCATAGAAGTCACTGGAAACTCAAGACTGCCATGATAAGCTTCATCTTTACATATGTATGTAAACTGTTGGATGGACAGAAGAAGAGTCACAGCCTGCTTACATGTACACGTTCTTCCTGGTGTGTCTCTATTTTAGTGAGCATCAGTCCCTCAAAATTGCAAAAATAAACAATGCAATATCAGAGACATACCTTCTATATACAATATATTTTGTACAATAATCCAAGTTTGGTGTGGAAGACTTGGACACAGAACTTGTATAAAGCCTTCACAGAAGAGTACAGCAAGAGTTCCCCAATTAAATGAATGCAAACAGTTTCTCTGAGACATGAAACAATAGCAAACACACACAGTCCAGGTACCTGACACAATACACGATACAGAGGAAGCAGCAGAGAGCAGCCATAGCTCAACTCACGTCTGTCACGGTGGGAACTGAAACTAGACATCACCGTTCTGGGAAACAGGGGCACTTTCTTTTAATCATAGCTCCTTAAAGGAATGGTGGGAGGGTGTGTTTGAAAAGCAGATAAAGGGATGATCTATCATTTACTTGTCATTTGTTTGTTTCTGTTATATATAGAGATTAACTATTTCAAAACTCTTCATGGAACAGGCTACCAGGCGATATATTTTTGTTTTTTTTGGTATAAGTCATCATACCGACTCAATCAGTTATTAAAGTTTACCAAAAAAATACGTTTTTATTTCTGTGATCATATATTTCATAATAAAAAATAGATTATCTACGTTTTGTGTTGCATTATTGTAGCATGTGACCTGATGTGGTCAGATAGTGTCAGTTTTTTTTTTCCACTAGTGTACACGTAAAGGTGGGACTTTCCATCACAGCTTCATATCCTCATAAAAATCTGCATAGGAAAGGCCAACTGGACTTTCTTATGCAGATTTCTGCACTGTCATATGGACTATTCATACAGTGATGGAAAAAATGATCAGACCACCTTATTTTCTTCAGTTTCTTGTTCATTTTAATGCCAACTAAAGGTACATTTGTTTGGACAAATATAATGATAACAACAAAAACAGCTGATAAGAGTTTAGTTTCAGAGCTGATATCAGACATGTTCCAGGGTTGTCCTGATAATAACCAACATCACTGAAGTTCTTCCATCAGTAGCTATGGCATTGTGCTGCCAGAAACTGTGCTTTTAGGCTTTTCTGACTGTTTTAGTCACATGATGCACAGGAGTTAGTACCTGATGGCAGAACCATAGTTTCTGATGACTGCAGCCATGCGTCTTGGCTGCTCTCCACCAGCTTCTGACATGGTTCTGCTGCCACAGCAGCCCATTCCTGTTGCACTTATTCAAACACATTTGCTTTGCTTTGGGGCTTGTGCTTCTCTATTTTGTCTTTGATGGTTTTCCACAGATTTTCAGCTGGATGTAGATCTGATCTGGTGACTGAGCAGGCCAAGGCATGGTTCCAGTGTTCTGGTTCTCCATCCAGGCTTTAACTGACCTCGCTGTGTGCCAAGGGGCATCGTCTGGTTGGAAAATCCAGTCAGTGGAGGCAGGAAAGAGTTTTCCAGCTGATGGAAGAAGACTGTTTTCCAGAGTAGCCTGTACATACCCTGGTCCATTTGCCCTGTTCCACCTAAACTGGAACAAGCCCAGATGGTCACTGATCCACCCCCATGTTCTACTGCAGGGGCAGGACAGTCTGGTCTGGAGGCTTCTTCAGGCTTCCTCCTTTCCAGGAAGTTGGCTGGAGTGGGCATCAGCTGAACATTGGATTCATCCCTGAAGAGAACCTCAGCCCAACCATCAACAGGCTTTCCTCTGCCTTTGGTTGATGAAGGGCTTCTTCAGCCCTGTGTGACTTCAGACCAGCTTCTAGAAGTCGGTTTCCAACTGTCCTTGCTGAACCAGTCACATTTCTCCACAGTACCCACTCATTTTAAGGTCCCTGGAGGTCTGACGATGATTCCTCACACAGAACGGATGAGTGCACGGTCAGAACCATTCATAACAGCAGGATTAATAGCACAGCTGCTGTATGAGTGTCGATCAGTTTTAGGGGAGTGGATTTACTATAAAAGATGTTGCACAAACTCAGAACTGTAGTTAAAAATCTTTTAATTTATTTATACATATATTTATATATGTACACATTTACTTACCTATTCTTGTAAAGACAAGAAACACACATTGTCAAATTCATTGTTAGTTACGGGTGGCACAATTGAGTCCCAGGCGGATCCAGTAATGTAATAATCCCTGAATTAATGTTCGTTTCCTTTGCCTTATTTCAAGCAAACCGGGTCAATGTTTCTCCTTATTTCATTCTTCTCCTCAAAAGCTTTCCAGTAACAAGGCAAAGAAGAGGACAGGTATCGAGGGAGTGTGGTAAATACAACATAGCAAACACCGTACAGACGTTTTATTATCCGGGCAGGGTGTGTTAAAGTCCCTGTCAGAAGGCCACGTCGTCCACAGCAACGTGACCGACTGCTTTGTTTTTGAGGTAAACCAATTTGGATCGCCGCCGCAGCCCTGAAGCTTTCATTAACAGTCGTTCCTTTTGTCTCTATCATGTTCATAAAATATAGTGAATATCTGAAATATGCCCTTCTGACGTCTCCACGCAGAAGAAGTGAGGTTATTAGAGAATACGAAACACTTTTACCAAGGGTTGTATCGATTAAGCAAAACAGCGGGACTAAGACATGATGATCTTAACACCCGCGTCTCCCCTCCGTCCTCCGGTTGTGCTCTAACAGACGTGCCTGTCCCGTTACCTGCTGGGCTAAAAACACCTCAAGTCCCTGCTGGCCTCGTATCTAAAGAGCTGCACTTGGTTTCACAGATATTAGCAATATTGAAGCAGATGACTACTAGTCCGGGATCAGCGCTGCGTCCCGTCCACCCGCTCTAAAAACACGTGGGTTTGGTTGTTTTCGGTTATAGGCAACTTTTGTCTTCTTATTTAAAAGCACTCTGGAATTGTATGTTAATAAAGGAATCCCTTACTGCCAGTATAGTAGCAGTGAGATTAAAATAACTCTTAAAAAAAAAAAAGTCCCTTTTGCAAATTAAACGACTGCATCGTCGTCGTCGTCGTCGCGGCCGCTTCGAACCACAAACGACAGATTTGGATGGAACCCTGTTAATAGTCTTAAAATGACGTGTACCCTTACCTACGTAGATAGTTTGTAGTGGTTTTTTTTCTCCACAAGGTGTGTGTATACTCACCCTTGTTAATTCAGTCCTTGTTATACATAACATGTACTTAATTGTGATTACAAATGGTGATATGCACAGAGCTTACAGTCATAAACAAAAAGTAAAAAGCATATAATGTATTGTATATAGTCCAAACAGTACATGTTCCCCCATAACAGTCCCTTAGTCTTCAACATAGTCTTTTGTACTCCTTCATAGTGTTTGTAAACGTTTTATGAAAAAAAAAAAAAAAGAAGTCTTTTTATAAGAAATGTACTGCCACTAATTGCGTGACGGAAACGGGTGCGTTGAATATGTGCTGCATGCTGCCCTCTGGTGGCGACAACCGGGAGCTGTGCTACAGGAAAGGGTTGGTGGATGAGCCCCCTGAAGGGAACGACCCGGCCGGTGCTCCCGCCTGAAACAAGGAGCAAAGGTTTAAGACACCTACAGAAAACACATACATCCCTCGGAATAAATGTCACGACTGGGGAAGCTTTTAGTTGATTTGTTATATTAACCTGACAGCACTTTACAAAGTTGGGAGAACAGAAGACAACACATGCTCACCATGAATGGGTTGTTGGACATGCCAGGGACAGCCATGGGCTGCCCAAAGGCCGCGATCGAGGGCTTGTTCTGACCGTAGACCGGGAATGCTGGGCCTACGGGTGACAGAGGGGAGAGGGATTTACACAGATCGAGTCTGTTCTCTCCAGCAGCAGAGATAAGAGCAATAAGAGTCTGGAATTCTCTTTTATTTCACTGCAGCCTTCATATCAACATGCCATAAAGATAAGTCCAAGAAAAACATTCATTTTACAACCTAAATTACAGCAGTTATGTTTCTTTAATTGTCAGGGACTAAGACTGCAAAGAGGAGAAAAGAAATCGAGGAGAGCCAAGCCCCAGCATGTCAGATTGCATTCAGGTAACAACAGAGCCTTAATGAGTGGTTTGTAATTGTGTTTCTGGACCAGAGCAGAACCCTAAAGCTTTGTACCCTAAATGCAACCTTTAATCACTGTGCAGCAGCTGCCACTGACGAGTTTAATTTGAGACAGCTTCAACTCAGGTCTTAATGCAGAGGGCCATCGTGTCGGTAAGAGAATGTGAATAGTTGATGCCAGAAAAAAAGGCAGCAGATGAATCACTGACAGGTACTGCACAGGTGCAACAGGGTGAGAGGATGGAGGGACGTGGGAGGCCACTAACCATTAGACTGAGGGTGGTAGGCCCCGGGTTGAGAGTAAGGGATGGGGGCCTGGCCGGGGAATTGCTGCTGGAAGTTTCCGCTGAAACTGGTCGGGAGGCAGTAGGAAGACGCATTCCCAAAGCCGGCGGGCATGCTCATAGAGCCAGTACCAAACGAGGCTACGAGACACACACGGCATGTGTGTGCAGTGGATGTACACGCATACCCACAACACACACACACACACACACGCACGCACACACACACACACAAGGAGGAATAAATTCTAGACAGTCTGGAAAAATCACAAAACTACCAACAATGTAACTGGGTTACATCAAAGCAACACAAACGTCTAAAAAATGAAGTCCATCAGACTGTAGATGTGCACATACCTGCAGCTGGAGCTCTGCCGTTGGTCTGAAACGGGTTGGTGGCCATGTCGGGGGGGATGGCTGCAGCGACGAAAGGGTTTGTGGATGGCACCGCTGGATGGGATAAAGTCACAAAATGAGTCTTAAAGTTGCAATGCACCAAAACATGTTGTATTTCTGTGTGCATCAGTGTAGCAGGAATCATCACGGCCACCTCCAAAGCCAGGCTGCATGCTGGGTAACACGGGTGGATTCTGAGCTGGTGATGAACCGAGCACTGGTCCAAACAAGTTCCTGTAAAGAGAATGATGGTTTTTACCTGATTAGAAAATGCAAAACAAGACAAGCATCAATTAATTCCAGAAAACTTGCAGACTACAGGAATCATCTCGGTTTCAACCTGAGATGCAGACAACAGCCAACGCACATAACGAGTGGGAGGAGCAACAAACCCCCAACTGAAAACGTAACTCAGGTGTTAATGCCTCCTTCAGGATATCAGTATCTGGAACTCCCAACTAGTCAGTCAGAGCTGATGAAGCCTCTTGGATGAGAGATCTTCAAGGAACTCAGGCAAGTCCAGCTCCGACGACTAAACTATGAGACTAACCATGACCATAACCAATAGAACACATTTATTCACACACATCAGCTGCACCATGTAAAGAACAGCATTCAGCACACACTGAACACTACATTAACCAGGTTCCTGTCGTGTTCACTCAGGTTTGCAGATGGACTGGGTGTAGGACGTGACCTGTCTGTAGCATGTGTGTCTGCCGGTCTCTCACCCTTGCACACTGGTTCCTGTGGAGGCAGACACAGAGGAGCTGAGCTCGTTGTCCAGCTCGGCCAGAGCAGCATAGCGGTCCTCTGTGCAGCTCCCCGTCTGGGACTGGGCAGCCACGGCGCTGGACATCGACGGAATTGGCACTCCTCCCCCTTTTAACAAATATTACGGGGGAAAAAAGCGTTTCAATCATCCATGGCCACATGCAGGTACACCCAGACACTTAAAATGCCCACTGGGTGTCCAGACGCTCTTCACAGGACTTTATCCAGTTAATTCAGGTTGAAAGGATGGTGTGTTCACAGAACTTCTGATGGGCTAGAAATCAGTTTTAAGTGCATACTGTGCTGAGCATAACTTTAAAATCTGATCCATGAGAAACAAGCTCCACAAAGCTTTCTGTGGTTTGGTTAAATATACTTATATATTCCTATTTGCCTTTTTTATACTTGCATTTTGCAGCACTGGAGTTGTCTTTTAATTTCATTGTACTCTGTGTATGATGACAATAAAAAGCATTCCGTTCTATTCTATTATCAACAACAGCAGTGGTGACCAGATCAGTCCAGTGGACAGTGAGGCTGTGACTGGTCACAGCTCAGGAGTCACGGATGGAATCAGTTATCAGGTCGACCAGATAAATAAATAAATAAAACAGGGAAGGGCCAGACAACACGGTCACTGTCAACTGCCTCCAACATGCCCCATTCATCTGAACACACGACCGCTTTGTATCGCGTCGCCACGACACTGCATCGACATTCAGGGAATTATTCCTCCCCGAGGCTGAGCTATGAGTTCACTTGTTTACCTGGAAGCACGATTATGCAAAAACTACCGAGTTACATGAAATTTAGCAGAGAGGTTACATTGTAGTGCTGGCCTCGGAGGACGGCTGTGCTCTCATGGCGCCCCCTTCTGGTCACATTAAACAGCAGCAGCAGCATTAAAACTATTCTTTACACTATGATTGTCAAACTTTGCAGTTAATCTGAAACGTGATCCGTGCAGCTCATGAATCTTCTGTTATCACCGCCAGCAGACAGAGTGAGAGAAGAGTAAAAACAAGTGTGAGGTGAGGGTGAGCATGTGTGGATACAATGGAGGAGAGACAGTGGTGGGGAGGGTGGTACCTGATGAAAAGGACTTTGAGGGAGGTGACGTGCTCAGATGGGATGGAATTGCAGTGTTTCCAAATGCCTCAAAGTTGGCAAAGTTGGTATTTGAGTTAACCTGAGGTGCTGCAGTCACACACAAGGAAGAATTAGGACATTGAATGCGGAAATAAAAAAATAAAAAAAACAACGACTGGGGAAATGTATGAGATAACGACGAGACGAAGCGCGGGACCTTCTGGGAAAGGAATCTCACCTGACTGGCTGGGGAAATGTGCAAAGTTGGCAAAGTTGGTAGAACTGGCAGTTTGAGCGGGCGGAGCAGCAAAGATGTCTCCTCCCAAGTCTGAAAGTAGGTCAAACTTCTTCTCCTGAGCGGCGCCGTGAGCCTGGGAGCGGCCCAGCCCTGGAGACTGGGCGGCAGGGAGAAAAAGGTTTAGTCGAAGGTGACAGTTAGTCGGGCTGAACGAGCCTCGGGGAGCGTTCCTCTCACCTGGCGCAGCGGGGTCTTGTTGAGCTGCAGGGTTTTGAGGGGTTGGACTTCTGGGGTGCTGCCGGTGCTGCTTGCCGAGGAGCCCGACACAGAGGCCTGGACGCTCGCTACTGCTCGTGCCTGGTCCGGAGGAACGTACCTGGGCGTTCAAGGAAAAGAGCAGCGACACATTCAGTCACTTTGGTAAGATGACCTCATTGAAGCCGAATGTAAACATGGTGCAGCAAACTTTTCAAACAAGGATTGTGTTTTCATTATTCTTTTATGCATATGGTTGCTAAAAATCTGATATCGCTAATTATTTTAAAGGAATAGTAAAATCAGATTCAATCCAGATGTTGACCCGACTTGTGGAAAGTGTGGACGTGCACCTGGTGCTGTGCTTCATATGTACTGGTCCCTGAAGTCCTACAGCATCAAATTAAACCAGATCCACTCGGTGCTACTTCTGCAGCAGCCCCAGACCTTGACTTGCCAAACTCTAAGTTAAAAGTCTTGAAATGTTCATTTTTATTGGAGGGACTCGTCATCCCCTTCACACTGGTTAAAAGATGTAATGTCCTGTATGGATCTGGAAAAAATCACGTATACAATCCGAGGTTCAGAAAACTGTTTCTATAAATTGTGCCGTCCTTTTCTGGATTTCTTTGAAAGACCATCGACTACAGAGCAGCTGAGTAGCCTAAGATACCCCGATCCCTAACCACCACCTTTTTTTCTTTTCTTTTTTTGATAGAAATATATAGTGGGTGTTATTATTAGTTTAAAAATCATTATTTCTGCTGTTTTCGTTTGTCCAGTTTTGTTTTTTGTCCTTTTTTTTATTATCTTTTTCTGCCTGTTTAACGTTCACAAAGAACAAAACGGTAAAAACTTTAATTTCTTGCAAATTCTGTACCGTACATTACGGTGATATTTCGGTGAATAAAAAGAACTTTGAAAGAAATCAGATTCGATTGAGCCTTTCTCAAACTCCAGGAGGGTTTAAGAGTTGTGCGGTTTTTTTTTTCTTCCCCCCACAAACTCTGCAGCAAAACCAGGAAAATGACACGTTGAGATAAAAAAATGTCTCAGACAATGAAGAGTGTGCTATCAAACTGAAGCATACGGTTAACCATAACTGCAAAATGGTTTCTGGCAGAGGTAACGCTTAACTCTCAGCGCTTTTTTTTCCCTTTGCATCACTGCTGATAGAAGCAAGCCAGGAGCTCTTTGCAACGTGAAGCATTGACTACCTTTTCCAGCGACATCATTAAAAGCTCACAGCCAAGTAGAGAGATATATTTATAAAACCCTTAATGCAATGTGCGTCCACAGGTTAAAGAACATCAGGTTTTAACTCTTTCAACTGTGATCAAACGCGTAAGAAAAATAAGTTACCATCTTTTCTTTTCGTATTTTTCCTGAAGGAACTCTTTTACTTTCTGTGGTTCTCGGAAATCTGGAACAACTGATGTCCTGTCGTCATAGAGGCCCAACCAGATGTGTTTACAGACCTACAGGGGGCACAGGAATGAGGAGAGTGGGAGGTAAAGGAGAGCAGCAGCGTGGGGGTGGTAGGGAGAGGTGAGAGAAAGTAGAGGGAAGGGGGGGGAAGGGATGGCGAGCAAAAAAAAAAAAAGGAGAAAGAAAGGAATGCCAATAAGTTGACTGGACTAAAGGAAAAACCCAAATATCAAATGAAGGCGTAAAGATGAAAATAACGCTGAACAGTGTGAAACACGATGCTGGGCTTTTGCTGTAAAGTGTGCACGATACCTCGTTGCTGTGTTTCTGTAGGAACTCGATTTCCTGCTGTGTGAATGTGGTCATAGAGATGGACTTCACTCTGTGTGGGGGATTCAGTCCTCGCCTGTGGGTGGAGGAGGTATATGTTAGCTAAAGAACAAGAGGAGCAGGATGCAACTCGATGCTGCTTAGGTTACACGAAACAAGCAAACAGAAAAAAACAACACCCTGTTAGATTTTGTTCTCAGAGCATCCACGAGGTACTTAAAGTTTGGGACACAGGGAGCGAGTGTAAATATGACACACATTTCTAAAATACAGAACAATCACAGGAAAGCATTTACTGCTGCTGAAGCTCCAAGAGCATTACAGTTTGAATCTTAACCCTCACATCAGATTAAAGCCACAGGTTAAATCAGAAATATTTACGACTTTAATATGATGGGAAGTGACTCAACCCTGATAAGACGTGGCCAAGGACTCATAGCAGATAATATCCTGATGTATTTATAGTGCCAAGAAAAAGGACAGACCTAAACTCCCCTCTCATGTTTCTCTGCTGTAAAAAAAATCACCATGAGGATTTGTTTTTGGCATGAATTCACAACTATTACAGATACATGATACAAACTGGTCTAACACAACTACAAAAGCACAAAATTGTGTAGTAATAGTGATGAAGTGTCACACGTAAATCATGCCTGAGGTGTGACATGACAACCCGAGCTGGTATCAACAACAAGCTAAACTCATTAGTAAACGCAACAGCGTGTGCGTCTTTAGCTCGAGCTAAATCATCAGAGGAGATTTATTAACAACTCTACGACAACTGCACTGAATTAATGATGGTCTGTATATAGGACAAAATGACATGTTTATGCCCACGGAGCTCAGACACACAACACGACAGAAGAACATGAAAATAATCAGAAAACTGAGTCAGCTGTCAAACAGGAAGCACACCAGCGAGACGAGCCGCTAAAAGTCCACCCATCCATCATCTCTACACCTTAATCCTCACTAGGGTCATGGGGGGCTGGAGTCTATCCCAGCTGACTCAGGGTGAAGGCAGGTTCACCTGGACAGGTAACCAGTCTATCACAGGGCTCCACTTAGAGACAGACAACCAAGCACACTCACATTCACACCTACGGACAATTTACAATCACCAATTAACCTCAACATGTTTGTGGACTGTGGGAGGAAGCCGGAGAACCCGGAGAGAACCCACGCTGCACGGGGAGAACATGGAGACTCCACACAGAAAGATCCTGGGTGTCCTCACCGGGAAGCCAACCGGCGACCTTCTAGCTGCGAGACGACGGTGCTAACCACCGACAAACCGTGCAGCCCCTCCATAAAGACATATTCTCAATAAAAAGCTGAGGTGATTTGAGAAACAATAACGTCGCAGCCAGAATATGTGGAGAGATTTAAAACTGCTGTTCGCTGCAACTTGACAGAGCTTCTAAGGAATTCTGAATAATCTAGTTTCTAGACGTCCAAAGCTGATGCAGACTTATAGACTGAAGCCGACTTCAGTAAAGTGAACATGGATGTAATATTTCATATTGTGTTGTTGTTTGTACTTCATGTACATCGTTAACATTTTAGTCTCACTCTCTGTTGATCCTCGTTAAAAAGATCCAACAGAACCGCTGTGATTTAAGGCTGCAATAAATAAAAGTGTATAAAGAGTCCAATGGGGTAAAGTTTGTATTGTTTCAGCACCAACATGGCAATCTGTGCAATAGTCACATCGCTTCAACATGTTTTGCACTTCTCATTCGTCATGACTCATTTACAAGAGAAGTCTGCGTAACAGAATTCACCCTAATTTAAGACTTCTTGAGTAAACTGAGTCATTTTTTCCTTTTTTACTGTATTCAAAACACGGGGTTTTGATGACACGCAGCCTCCACAGGTGCACGACGAAACGAGCAGCAGGGAAACACTCAAAGGCAAAGTCTGGTGACCAAAAGTACGACGGAAATATTTAAACAGCAGAAAGGGAGAATGTTGGGGGAAAACCTGGTCATGTGTCAGCAGCTGTCGCCACCACACGAGACAACTAACCATCGAAATCAGCACCACAAACCTCACAGAGCTACTGGAGACAACAGGGGAAATCTCCTGTATTTTTTCTGTAGCACAATTTATATTGTGGGAAAACTAAATAGGTCAAAGATCTTCAAGGCCTTTTATTGGTCACAAACACAGTTATATACGGTATTATGGCAGTGAAATGTGCTCCTGCTCCACACCGAAACAATAAGAATAAGATAAATAAGGAATAAAACACACAAGAAGTACAAATCTACATATGAATGCATACATATTTATATATATAGCAAGAGATGTTGATGAGAGATGAGAGAGAAAGAAAAAAATTAAATTCAGAATATATTATGTACATGCTAAAATGTGTTTTTTTTTCATAATTTCCTTTGACCTTACTGATGTGCTCCTGTCTTCATGCTGTGTAGTTTAACACAACCTGAAATAACAGCACGTGTTGGGATCATATTAATGATCCTAACCTCTGCCTACACACCTACACACTGCCTGGATGTATCGCCCTAACAAAACAATGTCACTGCTCCTCATTATTTATGACTTTTCCTGAGTATTCAGTCATGATTTCCACCACGTCTTGTTGTCGTTGCACAACCAGGTGGGACAGTCCCTTTGCATTTCACTCCCACACTGTGTGAGCACGTGACTAATAGGAATCACCTGTAGCATAAGGACAGCAGCGGGAGCCTCAGTGTCAGCGGCTCCGTGGGTGTGGACGGGCGGTGTGTTGCGTAGATCAGCCTTGTTGCCTAAATCCTGGCTTTAATTACAAAATGCTTGAAGTTTCTGAGGAAGTGGTTTCATCACACAGCAAGCCACGGTCGACCCACTGCCCCAGTCTTTCAACCGCTTCCCGAGTTCAGCGACCCACCCCGCTGCCGTTATCTGGTCGGAGGTCCAGCTAAAGTTCACCAACAAGACGAGGTCCCCCTGTTTTCAAACACCGAGCTCAAACATTAGCCACACTCCTGAACCGTGCTAACCTTGACCACAGAGAGCCGCCGAGACAGACAGCCAGCCAACCAACCAGCCGGCCAGCCGGCCGGCCCGCATGTCCCCACAACAACCCCGGCTAATCACACCGAAGCCCCGCCGTAAACAGAACCTCCCCCAGCCCAGCCCCGGCGGCCTCGGGGGCTCAACCGAAGGTGGCATTACCTGTCCCGGCGTCGGCACTAGCTAACGAGCTAACGGTACCGCCAAGTCAGTGCCAGGACCCCACAGCGGGCGCCTCGGCGGACCACCGTAGACCGTAAATACAACACTCTGACCCGAAAGGAAACTCACAGGATCCCGGAGCAGGTGGTGCAGACGAAGGAGCCCACTGTCATGTTGACATAGGTCGGGCCGCGCTGGTCGCAGTCGAAGCATTTCCTATTCGCGGGCAGGCTAGTCATTTCCCGGAGCATCTTTAGATGAGTCTCCTCCTGCTTTCGCTTCGCGCTCGTCGCCATGGCCGAGAACAGCGGCTGGTATCACCGGGGAGGGAAAAGTTCGGGACCCGGGGAGGGGCGGGTGTCTTCAGGGCAGACTTGCCGCGTACGACGGCGGCGGTGTCGGTGGCGGAGGTGGCCGGGGAGACACCTTGCTGAGAGGTCTAGCGGGGAGACTGGGCGACTGACAAACTTCTTCCTCGACACGGAGAAAGTGAGAAACTCAGCGGCCTCAGTGACACCAGCGCCCCCTGTCGGTGCGGAAATACACGCCTCCTAGTTTAATTAAAACCCACACGGTTGTTGGGAAATAATCCATTTTAAGAAACAGAATAATTAACCACAATTTGCATCCAGTTATAAGAGTACCACATTCATCCAAAACATTATTTTAATTTTAAAAAAGACAAACAAGTGAAGCATACAATGTATACACTGCACTTACATTTGTTTTTTAAAACAAAATCACCTTTTTCTCTATATGGATTTGAACATCTCTTCAAAGACGTTACTTCACTTCTCTGCACGTTTTAAAATTCAGGTCTTTGGTCTCGGCCTTGGCAGCCTTGACACAGCAGGTGCTAATTGAATATCTAGCGATGAGACGTCCCCTGTCTTCAGTCTTGGCCTCCCTGACACTGATCACACTGTTCTCTTTCATGGCCATCCACCTCCTGCTCTGCTTCTCTTTGCAGGAAACTGCTGGACGCGCTGAAGAAGTGCTCAGTGATTTGCATTGTTGCGCGCCCTGCTGTTCGCACAAGATCGGATTATTGTTTTGTCGCTTAAAATGAATGGACAAAGACTTGAAATCAGTATTTTGCAGCACGCCTGTTTTTCAAAACAGAGTGAAAAACTTAAAGGGCACTTGATAAAGGTCGGTGCTCTGTAATTGCAAAACAATTATCCAACACATAAAGCTGCTGCCTCTCAAAATGCTGAAATTTCTAAATTATTAGATGATAAAACAGAATGATTGGAGGAACATTCAGTACAAAACTCTTGACTTCTAGTGTTGCATAATGGTAAAAACAAGCTTATGGCACAAATCCAAGATTGGAAACACAGACTGAACAGACAAACTGGTACATGATGGGGTTTTTGATACCCAGACAGAGAGGGAGATAAAAACCACGGACTGGCTGATCATCAGATCCGACGTTGTATATGTTTTTAACCAGTTCCTCATAAAAATAAATCCATTTATAAACACTATGATCCTGATGTCACCACTCTGTAGTGTCGAGGAATGTCCTGCACAAAGCAGTATCTGGCTGACCGCATGTAAAGAGTTACGACATCATTAAACAAACATATTTCAAGTTTTGTGTTAGAGCCGTTGCAAACTTCCACACCAGGATTATAACATACTGCTCCTAAACATCAGTTATCAGTGTCCTTCATGATAATATCTGTATTGGCCCCAGAAAAAAAAGGAAAAAAAAGTCTAATCCCTTCTTTGGTCGAAGGAGGCAGAAACGGCGTCAGGCTTATTTTGACTTTGGCCTCTTTTTGTTGACACCTAAAGAGTCTGCGTCCACAGTCTGGAGGAAAAGAGAGAGACGAAACATTCAGACAAATCAACACAGCAGATTCAGAACCACTGAGAGGTCTATGTATGGTGAGTTATTAAGCTTCTATTCCTGGCTTTGTGGCGGTGAACTGGAGCAGAAGGCTGATCAAGGTGGTGGTTCATTTCATCATTAAACAACCTATCAATGAAGTTGTCAGTCTTTTATAAGCTTTAAAAATGCCCAAATTCTTAATTATTTCTGAAAATGATTTAAATATCTTCACCTGCTCCCTTTTCCTGGTGACTCTGAAGAAGTCCTCCATGCGAGTCTGCCTACTGTTTCCCGCTGCCTTCTCCTTCTCCCGCTCCTCTCGCCTGTTTTTCCGGAATTCACGGAACCTCTCCATCCGACGACGGACCCTCTCCTCCCTAGAATAATAATCAGTATTGTTTTAAAACAACGGTTAAACAGTTATCATTTTAATATTTTACAGAATGCTGTGAACTCGGGCCTATGGAAGAACATGGACACGGTGAATACGTACTTAATGCGTTTGGCGGGACAGAGGAACTCGACCACAGCTTCTTCATCCGGCTCGGTCCAGGTGAGCTCAGGAGCTGCCGTTTGTGGGGCGTCCAAGAATATCTTTCTTGCTTCTTTGTACTTCCAGAAATGTGGAACAGGATGGGTCTGAGGGCAGCAGATATTGTAATCCGATTAGATCCTACGCAGTTGTTGTAATTCAGTGTAGAGACAGAACAACAAAGACCACTGGTTGTCCATCCATCCATCATCCATCCATCCATTATCTATATACCGCTTAATCCTCATTAGGGTCACGGGGGGGCTGGACCCTATCCCAGCCGACTTAGGGTGAAGGCAGGGGACACTCTGGACAGGTCGCCAGTCTGTCACAGGGCCACACTTAGAGACAGACAACCAAGCACACTCACATTCACACCTACGGACAATTTACAATCACCAATTAACCTCAGCAGGAAGTCGGAGAACCCGGAGAGAACCCACGCTGCACGGGGAGAACATGGAGACTCCACGCAGAAAGATCCCGGGTGTCCTCACCGGAACGCCAACCGGCCACCTTCTAGCTGCGAGGCGATGGTGCTAACCACCGAGCCACCTTGCAGCCCCTCCTTGATGTATGCATATATTTAATCTATTAACTGTGTTTTCCCTGGTTGTGTCTACAGTATGGGTGAAACAGTCCAAGACAAATGTCCCCCGCCTGGGACAATAAAGTTAATCTACCTCTCTCTTGACGTGCAAAACCACGTCCTCAATAGTACGGTGCTTCTGGATCAGCGTCAGAGCTCTCTTGGGTCCCAGACCGGGTATCTTGTCGCAGTAGTCGCAGCCCAGCAAAATACACAGGTCAACAAGCTGGCAGGAAATAAGAAAACAGAACAGCTGAAGTATGAAATGGTACAGCAGTATGATAAACAGACTGGTGACAATTTAAAGGAAAAACCAACAAAAAGGCTTTTTGTTAGGTTTTTGTCCACTATGTGGTCCCAGAACAGCTCCATGGCATCGATTCTCCAAGTTTCTAAACTTTAGAGGGATTGCCAACATTGTTTAAAACATATTCCATCATTTGGGGCTTTGAGGATGACGGTGGAGAGCACTATGTAAGATATCGGTCCAAACTATAGGAGCTATAGGAGTTCAACTGGTTTTAGATCTTCCGACTGAAGGTCACAGCATAGAATTCACTTTATTTCCAATTCAGTTCAATCCAATTCTTGATTTCGAACGAATTTAAAAAAAAGAAAGAAAGAAAGAAAATGAAATGCATATAAAATAAAAATAAAGACTTCATGTGAGTGACAGACAAAATACATATATACATATACACATATACCTACATACATTCTGTTGCCACTCCATGAATAGTTATATCTAAAGAAGAGAAAAGTACTCTCCAACATGATTTGAATAAATAAATCATTTTACTCAAACTACTCAGTGACCCGTTGCGCCCTGTGGATGGAGGTATCAACCCGCTTCCATCAGGATAGAAATGTTATCACAGGATAAAGGTGACCACCCAGAACAACCTGGACCCAAATCATGCTAGAAAAATGTCCACAGAGCCAACGGGACCCCCTCGCTGTACGGGACGAGTGTTCATACGCCACACATGCGCTCAGCCCCTTGTTGAGAGTGTGGTGAAGGATGGCTGGTCTGACCGCATCACTTTATTCTGCATCTGTGTGGTTTTTGCTCCACTGGACTCTCAGATGTGCATTCATCTTTGTAATGACGGGTTCATGCGCTGCAGCCCTACTATAATATCCGCCTCCGTGTAATTGTGGATAGGACGTCCTTGCTGAGGAAGAGCTGCTCTTCTCACTTTCTTAGCATATCATACTAATTTACGAGCATCACCGTCATCAAGTTTGTGCTGCCGACCACAGTTTGCAACCTGGTCTACTGACGTGTTTCCACAGATCTAAATGCAGATGTCACTTTAGTTGCTGTTTCTGTTGAAACACCAGTTAGCTGAGCAGTTTGGTTTTGGACTGAAGCTCCTGCCATCTGTGCACCAACAAAGAACCATCTTCCAAAGTCCTTTCTTTTTGTCCTCTTTATTAGAATCATCTGGGCCTGCTCAGCACTTAGATGCCTCCCACAGACCACGACTGTTAACTGTGCACCTGTGTGGAAGCGTCTGCTTTCACTGTATTGGTACATTCATTTATTTATGGTTTTCCTTTCATTTGTCACATCTGAATGCTAATATATATGGAATCTAAGCTTTCAAAGATATTTTGATGAATGTTTCGGTCTTACCTCTTTGTGATTGATTTGGAGTTTCTCCAGTAACTTGGGTAAAGAATATTCAATGACTTCACTGTGAAAAAGAGCACAGACTCAACATTAGAGCAGCCTAGACATCTCCCAGGGCTATCACATCCTCCATCGTCCTCCAGCCGACCTATCAGTCACAGTCTGACCTGTTTATTAATTAAATAGTCATGTGTCCAGTGGTTATATCTGAGAGAAGTCAGTGGAGTCCATCTGCATGTTTAGCTGCCATCACATATGATCTCATTACTTGCTATGGGACTGCATGCAGCTCATGTTTATCTGACAGGCCGCTGCTGTGATCTGCTAGACTAAATAAGATCTGCATTTGTTCTTCTTTGAATTACTGTGACTTAAAATAGTTCTGTGGCGAGCCACCAGATAACAGGTCGCGCTGTGATTATGGGATTCCTGACCTCATCTACTATATATACACAACAATATCCCCACCAACTTCTAATTAGCTTTTGTCTGATACTCTGGCACCAGCGTTTGCACATTAACACGTATATGACGGAAACAAGTGTTGATTCTTCTACTGACACCAGTCCTAAATCGAACTGCAGACTCCATTCACAATGACGCTCTGAAGCATGTATCAAGAGTCTGGTAGTAGATTTTGGTCGTACACAGAAGCAACTTCCCCTCAGGGATCCATCCATCATCTCTACACCGCTTAATCCTCAATAGGGTGGTGGGGGGCTGGAGTCTATCCCAGCTGACTCAGGGTGAAGGTAGGTTCACCTGGACAGGTAACCAGTCTATCACAGGGCTACACTTAGAGACCGACAAGGGTAGAACATAGAGACTCCACGCAGAAAGATCCCGGATGTCCTCACCGGGACGCCAACTGGTGACCTTCTATCTGTGAGGCGACAGTGAGGCAACGGTGCTAACCACTGATCCACCTTGCAGCCCTCAGGGATCCTCAGGGATCAATAAAGTATTTCTGATTCTGATGTAGAGAAACCAGGCTCTGGAAAGGTTCCAGCATCAACGTAAATGGATTCAAATGTAAAATAAACTCGGCACAATCCTCTGAGCAACACATGAACTGCACAGCTCCTACCTGTCCCTCTTGGCATTCAACTGGCGAATCAGAACGCTGGCTCCGAACGGCAGCGTGTCCATGTCCTCTGACGCCACAGCGTCCACGGTGCCCTCTCTGACCAGATGGGCACACAGCGCCTCAGCATCCCCTGGAGCCTGGGAGGTTTAAAACAACGAAAAGAGGGAAGCTGGATGAAAAGGTGCAGGGAAGATGTTACATATCTATTTACTGTTTAGGAGGTTGTACCTGGATGACAGGTACGCCCAGATGTTTCAGGAGCTGAACACAATCTCTGGTCTGGGATGATGGCGTTCCTGTGCAGTTGGGGAAGTTCCAACCAGCTGCCTCGGCTCGCTTCTCCAGCTGCAGAGAAAAACAAGCTTTGTTACGATCCAGCCTCTAGGGTCAGCTGGATGCAACGAAAAAAAGAGATGGAAGTGGTTCAGGTAACGCAGTTTATTGCTCAGTAACGTAAATGAACATAACAGAACCGTGACAATACAAAAGAAGCTGGTCGATGATGCTAAAAATCGAAGAACCAAACGAAGGCTAACAGAGTGTCGAAGCTAGCAAACAAAACTAAACTCTTTAGCCAAAACTTTAAATCTAAAAGCAACATCCACACATAACAGAAGAAACTAAAACAAACTAGTGCCTCAAAACACGAGTAACTTCTTCACAAAGTTGCACAGCTGCTAACAGGAGTCATAGTCTCCACTGAGATGCTCACGAAACTCCCACACGAGTTAGCAGCTGCCAACACAAGCTACCACAAACACAAACCAAGAGGCACCAGGACTGTTCGCACTAAATGCCAGCCAGCCAGACTGAAACGTTGCTGGTTGCTTTTATAGCCAGGTGTGGTGATTGCTGGGGTGGAGGAGGAGTGGTGGTGGTCCAATCAGATGTAACTGGAGGCGGGAAGAACAAGGTCTTCAGCTCCGGGCTAATTAGCTGAGATGACTGGCAGCTGGTGTCCTGGGCAGCTCTCAGCCGCCCACAACTGGGCCTGCACAGGTCATCTCCACACGCAATGGTCACAAGTCCACATAACAAAAATGGCACAAACAGCGTGGACAGCTTCAACAGCAGGAGTCCTGTGTATCACACTACAGCTGTCTCTATCATGTGGCACTGGTCCTTTAAATTCACTTCCTTGTTTAAAATATTTTCTTCAGTCAACCAAGGTCATGGGACCGGTTCTACTACCATTAAGGAGGAATCGGGCCTAGCCTCTCTCTGACCCGTGAGTGTCTCACACACAGCAGGAGGAAGAGTTCGCTGTCAAGTGGAGTCAAAGATGCAGACATGAAGCGTCACTTACAACATGTTTCTTCTCCCCCGGAGGCTTTCCGTCAAACACAAAGACCGGTCTGATGTCATGTTCCAGGAAGGTGAGCGTGCGAAAGAAGAGACCTGTCAGAGGGCTGGAGAGAAAAGATGTTTCACACAAACATGCTGGAGAACTGAAACCTGTGCTTATTGTTACACGTATGGGGCCAATGTTGAGTCTCAGAGGTCTTCATTCACCTGCTGGCTGTAGGTTCTGGTGGTTTGTGTTGGATACTGTTCATTTGTGAAGTGTTACGTTACACTAACAACGCTGATCATGTGCAACATCCATCCATCATCTCTACACCTTAATCCTCACTAGGGTCATGGGAGGCGGAGTCTATCCCAGCTGACTCAGGGTGAAGGCAGGTTCACCTGGACAGGTAACCAGTCTATCACAGGGCTACACTTAGAGACAGACAACCAAGCACACTCACATTCACACCTATGGACAATTTACAATCATCAATTAACCTCAGCATGTTTCTGGACTGTGGGAGGAAGCCAGAGAACCTGGAGAGAACCCACGCTGCACGGGGAGAACATGGAGACTCCACGCAGAAAGATCCCGGGTGTCCTCACCGGAACGCCAACCGGCAACCTTCTAGCTGTGAGGCAACGGTGCTAACCACCAAGACACCTCGCAGCCCTCATGTGCAGCATGATTAGTTATTTTATCAGATGGCCTTACATCACACACGTGTAGTTCTGGATACTCGATGTACTGGGTATACATCAGGCATTATCTATACATGATTTGGAAGTTGAAGGAAAAGGGAGAAGACAGAAGGTGTCATCATACATCCAAGAGCTCACCTCAGGGAAGGCGTTGCTGCACGGAACTGGTTCATAACGATGGAGGTGTCCAGTGCGATGACTTTTCCTGTGGAGCGTAACACAGCAGCACAATCTCACTTTGGTCTTTCAGGACTTGTTTATCACATGCACTCTTGCCAAGAGGTCAAAACATATTCATTGCATTCATTCAAGTGCAGCGCTTGAATACATCTGCGGGATTAGGAACTGATTTCTCCCACTTCCAGTGGACATTATTCATGTTTCTGCACTTCATCTAGCCTCCAGGTTTTTATAATAGCCTGTGCAAAGTGGTAAAAGCTGTTCACTTCAAAACAGCATGAATCCAGCAGCATCACTATGTTGTGTTTACTGCAGGTTTGCTTCATGAGTCCTTTAACTCTTCTCAGTAGTGAACAGCTGAACCAGGTCTGTCCCTTTAACACAGCTGGACTTTAATATTTAAACAGCGGAAGTGGATCCATCACTCAGGTCAAAGCACTGACAGCACAGTTACTGTAACGTTATTATAATCATGTTTTGAATAGAAAACCTTTACATAGTGCATCATGTTGCTCTCAGCTGGTTAGCAGCTTAATTAGACAGGAAATGAAAGTATCCGAGTACGTTACAAGTAGCTCCCTCTAAATCCTTGGATAAATATCAGTGTAGTAGCTGCATTTTATTGTTAATCCTTCATTTCGGTGGTATAAACACTTTTAAAGAGGTTTTTTGTTACGACAGGGTGGCATAATTGTATTGTAGCTGTCGCGTGACCACGCTAGCGCTAGCGGCTAGCAGCAACCAATGCGCAGCGGCGCAGAAAACAGAGAAAGCGACCAACGACCAGGTGTGTTACCTGTGTAGTCGCTGATTTCCTTGTAAGAAACAGCACCGGGAGCTTCCGAGCGGATTAAATCTGCCAGTTTGGTGATCCCCATTGTGCCACATTCACTAACTTCCGGTTTGATTAACACTTTGGAAAGAAGACGAGGAGACAGAACAACGTCAGGTGGCTTCCCCCGATGATCTGTGGAGGATCCTTTGCTGTGAAGACACGGACTAAAGCGGGATTAAATGACATTTCTCTGGACCGGTTAAAACCCCTCCATCGTGTGTGTGTGTGTGTGTGTGGTGCTGCAGGTCAGCTGATGGAGCAACAGGGGGCGCTGCTGCACACAGAAAGGGAGGAAACCAACATCCATCATTTATTACAGCAAAAATATTTACAAACAATGAATGTGTTCATATATTACAAAGAAAGTCAAACTCCAGCTCCAGGTCACACGTTTAGGTACAGCGCCAAGGCTTCTGTACCATGTGTGATGAATAGATCAGCATGAAACAACACACCTAGCTCATTATTCCAAAATAATGACGGATATTTCATAAACATTTCCACCTACTACACATGATCGCACACACGTTGGCTCTAAGACTTATATCACAATGTCTGCTGTATAAAACCACAAAGTCCATGCGTTTAATGCAGGTGGAAAAACAGAAATACGGAGTCGCGAGAGTGCAAAATTACAAAAATAAATCAATAAAAGAATAGTAAAATAAAAGTGGAAATAAAAATAAGAATAAATAAAATCAAAAAATAAAATAATTTGGCAATATAAAGCAAAATGAATCAAAAATGACTCCGTAAAAGAAAAGGTTAATAAAAGTAGAAATATAAAGACAAATAAATAAAATAAATATGATAATTTATTATTTTGAAAATATTTTTTGTTTTAATTTTTTAAAATTTAAAAGTTTATTTAAAGTTTCTATTTTATTATTTGTTTCATTTGTATTTGTATTTTTTATTTTTATTTATTCTTTTTTTTTTTTTTTACACTGTCGCTTTAAAAGCAAAGGAAATATACGTGGAAAAATGTGCGCAGTAGGAATGTCGTTGTGCCCATATTTCTTTTGATTTTAAAGCAACATTATAAAAAATATTATTATTATTATTAATAATAATAATAATAATAATAATAATAATAATAATTAAAAATAGTAAATAAATAAATTCATTAATTTTTTTAAATTAATACATAAAAATACATTATTATTATTTTATTTATTTGTCTTTAAATTTCTACTTTTACTAGCCTTTTCTTTTATGGATTAATTTTTGGTTAATATTGCTTTATATTGCCACATTATTTATTTTTTATTTTACATATTTTTCTTTTATTTTCACTTTTATTTTATTATTCTTTTATTGATTTATTTTTGTAATTTGGCACTCTCACTACTCCATACATAAAGGTCAAATTCTCTGGAAAGAAATAAAAACAACAACAGAAAAAACAAGCTGTAGGAACAGCAGGGGGAAACAGGATCACTTCACTTGGTGCCCATTTGTATTTTTGTCAGCACTTCATCAAGTTTATCGTAGAATCCTTCACATGTGGCGACCAAAGAGGTAAAAAACAGGACAGAACATTTCAACAATGGTCTATTCAAGTAATCTACACAAATGTTTGGGGGAGTGAAGAACTCAGAGGGCATTGGGGGTAAATGTTATGGCATCTCTAGATTTAGTAATCTTGTTTTGACACTTTCAGAGTTTATGACCAAACTGATGAAACAGACACGACAGGTCAGGCCTGAGGTTTGGTCCTTTAACGACGGTTCCAGCTCTGGGCAGGGTTCCCAAAACATTTGTTACTCAAGTAAATCCTTGTTTAAAATCTACAAAGCTTCTTTAAAACACCTTTTTTCATTTACTTTCACAAAGAGAAAAGATGATACGTGTCCCTGTAATGTATGTTGTTGGTGTTCAAAGCATTTATCGAGCTTAAAAGGGCAATATTCTCCTCACGCTTTACTAAGCTAGTTTGACAAAGTCAGGGTTTTTTTTTAAACTCTGACTTTAGGCTTGACATATCTTCCTAATCTGGCTTCGTGGTGCAGCCTTCTGGACCCTTTTCAGTTTCTCCTTCATGAAAGTAAACATGAGTGCATGTCTGAAGATCCTCAGTCATCCAGGTCATGGTTATTCTGGTAGATTAATCATAGCAACTGGACTTGCTTGAGTTCCTTGAAGACGTTCCACCTTCATCCAAGAGGCTTCATCAGCTCTGACTGACTAGTTGGGAGTTCCAGATACTGATATCCTGAAGGAGACATTAACACCTGAGTTTCGATTTCAATTGGGGGTTTGTTGCTCCTCCTCCTCGTTAATGCTTCTCCTGCCACAATGGGGTTCGTTTGTTGGGGTTCGTTCCTAATGAAGACATAACAAGGGGTAGGAGCAACAAACCCCCAGCTGCAGCTGAAACTCAGGTGTTAATGTCTCCTTCAGGATATCAGTATGTGGAACTCCCAACTAGTCAGTCAGAGCTGATGAAGCCTCTTGGATGAGAGGTGGAACGTCTTCAAGGAACTCAAGCAGGTCCAGCTGCTACAACTAATCAAATTATGTCTGTGCATAACAATCGATATTGTGGCCTAATGTTTATTGTTGGATCTAACATATGAAAGCTCAGATCATCGCTGCTGTTGCTAGCTGCTGATGCTAGCTGCTGAGCAAAACATTCAGCTGTAGAGTTATTGTGCTTTGTTTTACCAGTAGTTTGCCAGTTTATACAGCAGTGAGGTGAATCTTTAAGTGCTAAGTTCAGCGTACTCCTAGTCTCCTAGTCCAAGTGCTGCTGCTACAGCTCACCAGAATCACTTTTGACAGAACACTACCCATCAGGACTGGGCCATATCAGCCTGCCCTACTACCCATAGCGAAGTCTTGAAACATTGACTAGATGCACTAAAGATTATGATGTTCTCCTGCCAGTGCTAAACTTGAAAACTAAAAAAAGTCAAATCTCAAAAGAGAATTTGCTGCCAAAATCTGGAGGTTTGTTGTTGAGAGCTTTAGCTTCCAGGGTTCCCTTTATATGTAAGTAGAGAGTCATGCAGTAACTCGGTGATGACGCCTTGAACAAGGAATTGCTTTGGCTTCCAGTGTTTTGGGAGACTCAGTTTTGTCCCGTTTTAGCGACGGAACCAGATCCAGGTGTTAATGAGCCAGAACGCGACGGTGGCTGAATACAGGATCACCTCTCGCCTGGAGCGCTCTTTGTTTTCTTCCTCCAGCAGCTGCAGACGTCGGTTCAGCTTCACAATCTGGACAACAAGATTTCACAGGTGACACAGTGCAGGAGCAGCAGAACATTTACTGAAGTATATACACAGGACTGGCAACATCTGGGAATGATTTTATTTCAGTAAGCAAGACAATATCAATATCAGAAGCTATTGTGACATCAAAATCAACAACAGACACAAATAATTTTTCCCTGTTTTAGATGTAACGTTAGTTTTATGTGAAACCACAAGCACAGCAGCAACGTAATGGTGTTAGTTCTAAAGAAACGCTTTGTGCACTTTCTAGTTTACAGTAATGTGATTTGTGTTCTTTGTTTTTGTTTTCTTACAGCTGAGTGTCTAAAATTACCAGTTGGACTTGAACACAACTTTAAGGGCAGCCTGATATAAATACAATACAGTGGTGACTCGATAATCCGACACTAGATGTAAAACCTTCTTTTATGTCAGATAGCAAGGCTGTCGGATTGTCAAGACGGAGGTCGAGATACAAGGAGGGCTTGATGCTGGAAGGCTCATTAGTTGTTAATTATTGTTCATAGTTGTTATAATAACTAGTGTATTGTTAGAACACTACGCATTGCTGGATTCAACCCTAACTGACTGGTGCGCTTGTGCACATTCCAGCCACTTCCACCCCGGGGCAGCGCTATGACGGGGTGGAAGTGTCCAGAACACACAGGCAGTACTTGGCTGCTGATGCTAGTTTAGTTAGCGCTCACACTTCTGTTTCCACCATCGGTGGCGGCGGGGGAGTGGCAGATACGCTCCACTGCTACCATCCATGTTTACTTCCGTAAACACTGAGCACGCTTGCTGCGTGTGACGTCGTCGTGTTCTCTTCTGCGCATGCGGGACACTTTTGGGTCGTATGAAGTTCACACAGCAGATCACATACAAGTCGCATTTAACTGGAAATGTGAAGGAACTCACAAAGAAATCCTCATTGAGCATCAAGTCCTGCAGTGTGAACGTAGCCAATCTGTGGGATTGTTCAGTCAGATAATACGCCGTTATCCTGATTGGTGACATTAAATGTCATGTTGGAGTCAGAATCCAAGGCTGTCGCTATGTTAAGGCTGTTTATATGGGTTCTGTTGGTTTTTCCTAAAAACCTGTCAGATAGCAAGGTTTAGGATTGTTAAGGGTCGGATTATCGAGTCATGACTGTCCTTCACTGTTCCAGTCAACTGTAAACCTAAGACTAGGACAAACACAACAGACTTAACACACTGTGTACTACAGAGCTGTGAGGCAGCACATTGAGCCCTTATCAGTGGCGAGGACAGTTGTTTAGGCTTGTGAGACGTATTACCTGCCGTCGCAGTGAGGAGGCGTCTACGAGGCCTGACTCATCAGGGTTTAAATCCATGGCCAGGTCCAGGTGTGTCCTGTGAAGATGAACACATTTAGGACATGTTTAACACACTTAGCTTAGCTCAGTAACCGGATACGTAGCTACAGAAACAATCCTCAAACGTTTAGCGACAGACGTCCCCTGAACATATCATCGTTTCTAAAGGAGCCAACAGAGCACAAAGGAAGTGACACAGGGGAAGGCTGTGGACAACAACGATGGACTTTTAAAGGTAATGAGAAATACCAACACAGCACAACATCATCCCAGCACAGTTTCTATGTGTGTCACTCTTTTTACGTCACGCAATAATTAATAAAATGTTCTCTTGTTTTCACTCCTTATCCAGAATAATGTGAAAGTGCTTTAATGTCACTGGTTTGATTATAACTTCACCACAAGAACAAGCACTTTACTCTGAGAAACTATCCGAATGTAGCAATTTCTGGGAAGTTCAGGGACAAACAACAGAAATCACCTGCGCTGGCCGTCATCCAGGACCTCAAGGACCTGCTGGTAAGCACGCCGCGTCGTCGACTGGATGTAGGACAGGAAGCCGGCGGCCGTGAACAGGTTAATGTTCGCGTCTTCGGGGGAACAGAGGGGAGGACACAAACGGACTGGGGGGGCAGAAGGGGAAGGAGTTACACTGGCAGAGACATAAGCAGAGAGAGAGAAAGAAGATGTTTGTTTTAAAACCAGTGAAATAAAGAACTGAAAGGCAGCAGTGGTGAAGCAGCAACTGTGTTCACATGCACAGTCATGTCCCACTGTTATTTTGATTATGACAATATTCTACATTTATTTATATTCCAGTTAGATATTCCAAATTAGGCCTTTTCTGATGAAGCTGATATTCAGGTCTTAGCAGCATTCTTTGGACTCTGCAGGGTTTTTAGCAACACGTGGCCTCAGCTCTGTTTGTTGCACACAAACCAAGTAACAAGCAGTTTGCAAGGCCGGGATAGAGATGGAAAAGAAAAGTCCACACGTCTGGTAGGAAGGAACAAACATGCCTCCTTTATGAAGGATGTAGATATCAACAGTTGCACAACAAATATTGTAACAGCGACCTGTTCAAGAAGGACTGAGGCTGTGTTTGCCTCCTGGTTGAACAAGTCCACCGTATGCTGACAGAAAGAAGTCCAGCCATTCCTCTCCTGTCCATGTTCTGATGTTATAAATGACACGGGCGTCACATTAATGGGGATACGCACAGCTACACGTACAACTGAAGTATTCCTTCTCATTTGCCACGTACACAGCTTGGTAGGAAGACAGGTTTGTTTTTTAGAATAGAAACTGGGATTTTTCTGTGCATGTAAGACTAGTCAGTGTGGTAACAGGTGTCTCGTATCTGGTTCTGTACTAACCTTAGTTCGCCTCTGCTGATGTGACTGCTGTGACGGCCAGACATGTTCTCACTCGCGCTCCGTTCCCTCCGAGACCGAGCATGAAAGGCGGCCTGTTCACACAAAGGTTTGAAATAACGTCAGGTTCACACAACAGGTGGACGGGTTAATGGTAACGACATATGGTTATTAGATCGATTACAGCTACACGTACTTCAGCCTACGGGTGGCTGCGATTGGAAAACTCAACAGGCAGACTTCAGGCAGACATGCATCTACGTTTTGTTAAATTTTGTCAGGAATGTTCTTTTGATGCGATCTCCAAAGATATTACACGAAAGGATGTTTTCTCAGTTTGCTCAACATGATGGTCGAACGCGATTCGTAACACGACGACGGTTTATTTTGCCTAAAGCACGAACAAGTACAACGCAGAAAACAGTCATGTACAGAGCCGTGGTAAGGTGGAACTCACTAGCACTGGATTTAGTTCAAGAGGATACCAAAGATGGGTTCAAAATTTTGTTGAAACAATATTTACAAGTTTTTGAGGAGGTATAAATAAGGAAAATGGTGTTTCAAAATAAAATGTAATGCTGGTGAGAGCAAAGAACGTAAAACGTAGTTTTGCCCTATTTTCTTGGATTTCAATGGATCGAAGAACAGGATGGATGAAGATGTTAGTTAAGGTCATTCTGCTTATACGTTTATTATGAAGAATTATGAATTGTTTGCATATATGAAAGAATCAAGGTCCCATGAGTTCATAATTAATAATGATGGATTTATAATTCTGTGAATGATTAAATGATGTTGTACTGAATGACAGTATATTTCTCTACCTTATTTTACTTAATTGTAAAGGTAACGAGATGAGCTGTTGTGGTTGTTGTGTGTATAAGTGTGAGTGTGCATATGTGTGTGGATCCCAGGAAGAATAGCCGATGCTAATGCTGGTGCTAATGGGGATCCTCATAAACGAAACACTGAAAAGTTGATTTGGGAATTTCCATATCTTACATTTTCCAGAAAGTAATCATATTTTAAAAATTGTTTTCTTTTCCACTGTGTTTCAAGTGTATGCCATGTCTCAGGTTGCTTCACTACAACCATCAATTTGAAAAGCTGGAACAGATAATTACTGGCTTCTTTGATTTCTTCTGTTAGCAGCGCTGCCTTTAATCCCCTTATGGCCTTTTATTCCTCAGTGTTTTTCCTCCACTGAGCGGCTCTGTGATGTGTGACATTTCCAAATCCACATCTCGTCTCAGCCAATTCAAGCACACACTGAACACCTTTCCTCCTCTGACAGAGAATCGCTTCTGCTTACATCTCTTCGTCCATCTGACTTGCCGTTTCACACAGCAGTGGTTGACGTGGTTAAAACGTGTTTTTGCTTATAGAAACCACTGAAGCACTTTTAACTTTTACCCCAAATACTCAGTAAAGCAGCTTCAATGGCGAGGTGTAAATATGCAGCCGTGTACCTGTGTCTCCTCTTAATTTTTAATCCAACTGTTTAATTTTTAATGCTGCAGGTAAGTAGAACAAGAAGGCTGAAAATTAACTTCAAATGTTTTAACATCGAGCTGAAGAGGAGGCACAAACTACTACAGCATAACATCACCGCCCAGAAAGACCTGACCTCGACAAGCTAAAGAAAGCAGATTAGATCGTTTTAATATTGTTTTTTATTTTTAATGTGATACATTTCAAATGATCAGCTGGTATTGCAGTATTTATTTTTATTTACCTATATAAGAATAAGTATATATAAATGTAAAATTACCCATTTAACTGATTTAATTATAATACTATGGTAAAATAAAAAGTATGATTATGGATTATGTACACAAGTAGATTTTTCTGTGAGACTTTATGCTAATCCAAGGCTTTAGTGAAACGGTGCAGCATTATTGCAATCGGTGCGAAGTTTAGTAAAGAAATAAAAGACGTCACACAACTGGTTGTACTCACAGCGTGGCTGGGGTTGCTCTGTGAGCTGGCAGTTTGGTCTGTTTCAAGAGAGTCCAGGGGTTGTTCTGACAGCGTGAGGACCCGCGGTGGGGCCTTCATGCTCAGGAGGTCCACGGGAGGGACGGACTGGATCAGATCCAAGTCTCTTGGACGAGCGAATCGAGGGTCCCCGTCGTCACCTGCAGGTACGTGAGGGGAAAAGGGACACAAGGTCACAAGGATCATGAAAACTTTACACAGGACGTTGACCTCAGCACACTTGCCACGGTTTCAGCTTTCAGCGGGTCATTGTGTTAACCAGCACGGTCTGCTTTTGTTCTAGTGTTTGTATTCGGTTCTGCAAAACATTCAGACTGGGATATTCACATGTTTAATGTTGGACATTTTATAGTGAGGGGCTTGCGTCCCGGTGAGGACACCCAGGATCTTTCTGCATGGAGTCTCCATGTTCTCCCCGTACAGCGTGGGTTCTCTACGGGTTCTCCAGCTTCCTCCCACAGTCCAGAAACATGCTGAGGTTAATTGGTGATTCTAAATTGTCCGTAGGTGTGAATGTGAGTGTGCTTGGTTGTGTCCCCTGCCTTCACCCTGAGTCAGCTGGGATAGACTCCAGCCCCCCATGACCCTACTGATTAAGATAATGGATGAATGGATTTTACGGTGATGCAAACACAACTGTCGTGCCAACTTTCTTGGCCTCACCTGCAACGACAATCCTTTCAGGAACCTGCATCAGAGCCGTGTGAGGGGGCAGCGGTTGGTGAAGCGCCACGGACCCCGCCTGGTTCTCCGGGGCCACTTTCAGGGTGTCAGGGATCCGCATGCGCTGGCTGATGCCCTCCGTGTACTCCAGCTCATAGTGGATGCGGTTGATCTCAGCCACCTCTGCAGGAGGTGAGGTGAACGTTGGCCCACTCATCCAGCCTGCAGGAGCATTTAATGGATACAGATGGATGTCTAGCAGAGAACTAAGCTGCACTTAAGTTTTAATAGCACTCTCTGACAGAAGATTCAAAGCTCATGTGTTAAATCTCTCCATGTCTGCAGCCAGTGTCAATAGGCCGCCTGGTTTTCTGATTATAGTTGAGAGCATTTTATTACCACATGGCTCATTTAAACAGAAACACATGGGGGATTTAGCTCAGCAGCAAGTGGTGCTACACAGAACACCTAGCTGGTGTAACAGGGCATGCCCCGTCCGTAGTGAGGCCACCTAAGCCCAAATACAGTATTAGAAATAGGATTTGTCGTTGTGTTACATGGAATTACATAAGACTGGCATAAGGTGTAGCTGTTGTTGACACGCGGCTTCAATGTCATTGAATGAAAATCCACGTAAGCCGCCATGTCTGGCCAGTGCGGTGGCTAGTATCAGGCTAATATTAGTAGTATGCTGTCTGGGCTGTCAGGCTTTAGTAGCTGATGGTATCTTTATCCCTGCTCGTTAGCTGAACTGCGCGTTCACTCGCTGTCTGCAGTTACAGGCTAACTACACGTTTAGCTGCTTAGCTTTAGCCACCGTGACCGCTTACCGTTTGGGTGTCAGCGCCGGGTTTTAAAATGTCATGAGTCAAAAAGACGGTGCTGGTTCCGCAACAGGAAAAAACAAAACAGCATCAACCGGGACGGACACCGACCGAAACCGATAGACGCACCGCTTCGAGCTACACCGAGTGGAGCTGCCAAACGTCACCCCGTGTGAACGCGGGGGCGGGGCTTATGGAATACACAGTCTGTGCCCGCCAGCCGCCAGGCAGCAGGGGGCACCGGGAGTTGAAATCGAGTGCACACAATTACTGAAGTCAAATTAGCTGCTTTATGTAAGTGGACTGTTGTGTTTTTAATTACCAGCTGATTTGTCTGTTTAGGCTGTAATGCAACTTAATAAAATCTTCTCCTTTTTTTCCCATAAAGAAGACCTAATTGTATTTCTACAAATAAGAACTGTCTGATTTCAATAAAAAAGTAATTTTTTAAAAAATACCCAGAAAAAAATCTCCAGTTTTCATTGATGGGAGCATTTATATCCTTTACTTGAGTAACAGTACCAATACAACATACACTGGAACATACATAAGTATTAGCAGCAAAATGTTGAAGTGAAAGTAAAAGTCCCTCTGACTGATATATTATTATATATGACAACATCATATTATTAATAGTAAACAGGCTGTCAGCAGCTTGTTACTGTTGAAGCTGCTGTAGGTGTAGTTTTATATACAGGGACAGAAGATAAATAATGAAAAATAAACAAAGTTCTGATGCACAAATGTGTTCTGATCTTTGGTGAGATATTGGATCATTTGAACACTTACTGAAAAGAAACTCGTCCTGAGATGAAGAAAAAAATCAGGACTTAGTGGAGCTGTTATGAAATTAGTTAGCATCTGAAATGTGATCTAGCTACACACTGATTTAAAGTAAAGTACAGGTACCTTAAATGGGTATTTAAGTACTTGAGTAAATATATTTACTTACTTTTTATCAGTGATGATTTATATGCAGGTAATCTGGAATATTTGTGAATCTACAGTGAGCTAAAGAAAGAGGAAATCTGTATCTAACACTGTGCTGAACTTTACATCTTATTTTGAGGGTTGCATCAACAGTTTAGTGCCTTTGGGTGTGTCTACAGTAACAACAAGTTCCCCCAGTTAGTTTTCTGACCACTGTTTTGGGAACTTTGTTGACTCAGCAGGATGTAGAGTTTGCAGGTTTGCTGTCATTACAGTAGGACTAGTGTACATACTTTTAATAAAAATCTTCACCAGTCCTAAACATGTCAGGAGCATCAACATACATTGTGCAGCTCTTATATTATGAATGTGGACATCAGCTTGGTTTATGTGCTACTATAGTTTGTTCAAAGGTCATTTACAGTCTACAGGATAACACACAAAAATATATTCCATAAAGTTATCTGCAGAAATATTTGGACTTTGTTTGCAGGTTCCTCTGCTGTAAGTTGATTTAAAAGTTATTCTCTTTGGTCTATGTAGATCTCATTTATTTTAATCAAATATAAGCTTTTTGAGGAACATTCTGTGTGCATGCTAAGCATAAGAAATGAAATTTAGCTAAGTACAGTCCTTAAGCACAAACATGAGGTATTTAATCTGCCACCCAGGCCATTTTCTTCTTCTATTCAGAGAAAACTATCATACCATAAATCATACGACAATAAAATAAGCATCCAGAATAATAAACAAATAAATAAATAAAAAGAATAAATAAACAAGTGAAATAAAAGTGCAATGTTTTATCACATTGCTTAAAAAACAAGTGCAATGTAAAAAAAAAAAAAACTAAATACAGACACACCCCTTACACGGTTACACACATGATTATCTGGGTGACCTCATTGGCTTCCTGTCTTCCTGTTCATCCCGGTAATCTGTTCATTAATGAGCTTCACTGACAGACGGATCAATGAGTGTTTGTACCTGTTGTGTTTACAACGTGGAACCCTGCACCTTCTCCCTGAGTTAAGTAGAGTGTATTCAGGGTGCAGTGCATGAGAGGTATGTAATCAAATGTGATCTGCCTGTCTGCAGGTCCTACAGCTAAACATACAGCTAAAACTGGTCAATTAATCAATTAGTTAACGAAAGAAAATTGTCAAAAATTTGCATAATTGTTTAGAGATCTTGTGATAGCACTTTTACAAAACAATCAATCGATTAATGGAGAAAATAATCTGCAGCTGAATTTAGAATCTAAATATCATTTGTTGAATAATTTCACAATGAACTCCACCTCAGCCAACAGCGATTCTAAAAAAAAAGCATCTTTTACCTTAATCTATGAGAAATGATGATTTCATTATGTAATGCACGATGATCTAAAAGCCACAGGGTTCATTTTTCTTTGTTATCACATGCACATTGAAGGGCCTCAGATTTGTCTCCCAGCTCTGCAGGAGAAGTGATTTAGGATTAAATAACACACTTTATAAAGCACCCATTATTTCAGTTCAAACCGAGATTCAATCCTCGCTATTTTGGTCAGAACTGACAGTAACCACGAGTTCTGCGTTAAAATGAATCCTCGGATGTCATGTAACCCATCGAGAGCTTCACAACTACAACTCCCACAATCCCAACGGTTTCGAAAGTAACGCGCATGCGCCGTCGGTCTGGGCCATTATTTTGTCCTCCTCAAGCTTCAAATGAACAACAGGCTAAGCGCTCCTTGAAATGAATTAAATATTAATTCGCGGAGAGAGCAGTTTTTCCTCCCGTTCGCCACCGCCGACGTTCATGGAGCCCCTCGGCCAGTAGCTCGCCGTGTCGCCGGTCCGTGGAGTCCTCCGGCGGACTTGGAGGCCGAAAACAGTGCGCGGAGTGACAGCCCCGTTAAAGCCAGCAGATTGGGTGTTTATCTAGTTGGCTAGCCACCTAGCTAGCTTCCTAGACAGCAGCGAGGGGAGGGAAAAAAACCCCGAAAGGACAATTTGATAAACTTCGGGGAGGACAGAGCCGTGGCCGTCCCTGTCCCGTCCAGCCTGCAGAGGGGATGGCACACCTTCGAGACATGCAGAACCAGGTAGAGACACGCTCTTTTCACCAACTGTCACCTCCCGTATTCTTGTTCAAGGCGAGCCGAGCCCCCATGACTGTCAGGCTGTCCATGAGCAGGCTGGGTGGGGGTCTCTGCCATTATCATCATCATCATCATCACCATCATCATCATCAGCAGTGATAAAACACACACACATTAATTCATGTTCTTGCAGCAATCAACACATGGGTAATTTAAAAACTCCACATTTCATCAGTGCTTTCAGCCTCGTTGTAAGCAGATTGTGAGCTGTGGTTGTGGTTCACACTAAAACGCATTAGATTGAATGATTTCTGTAAGTGCCGCCACCTCCCTCTTCTTCACTCAGCTCTCATTTCCTGCTGTTCTGAGGAGAGAAAACCACTGAACTTTCAAGAGTCATGCTTCTTGAATTACATCCTGGCACAAAGTTCGATGTAGAGTCCAGGTTATTACACGGGCTGTGACTGAAGACATGGTAACTGACACAGACAAGGAAAGTTAATCATCCATCCCGTCATCTTTTTAATTTTGAGCGCACGAGGACACTATATTATACAGTAATAATAAAAGACATGGAGCACACAGTTTATATGCCTGACGAGAGACACACACCCATAAACACACACTTTGAGCACCGTCGTGATGTATTCAGTGGTTCAGTGCTGACTATGTTGTCACCGGAGCAGAACACCCGGCTGGACCCTGAGGAGTACTTCACCAAGCAGGAGCGGATCGGGAAGGGTTCCTTCGGAGAGGTCTACAAAGGCATCAACAACCGCACCAAGGAGGTGGTGGCGATTAAAATCATAGACCTGGAGGAGGCCGAGGACGAGATAGAAGACATTCAGCAGGAGATCACGGTGCTGAGCCAGTGTGACAGTCCTTTTGTCACCAAGTATTATGGATCATACCTGAAGGTGAGATAACAGAGAACAGAGCCAGAGTACATGTCCAGCTTTCTACTGCAGCAGCTTAGAGACACGAGCACCCAGGCAGGCAGCGGTGGTGTTCAATCTCAAACTTTAAACGTTTCTCATCAAGTGTTTCTCCCCCTCAGGGGACCAAGCTGTGGATTATCATGGAGTATTTAGGTGGAGGATCTGCTCTGGATCTGGTGAGATAGTTTCTATTTTTATACAGCTCACAAAGTTTTATATAAAACCTACAACATTCCTGTTCTTATCTTTCTGTCCCCAAACTTTTTTTGATGTATTTTTTGTGTCTTCGTCATTACAGCTCCGTCCGGGGCCTCTTGAAGAGACTTACATTGCTACTATACTGAGGGAAATACTAAAGGGGCTGGAGTACCTGCACTCTGAGAGGAAGATTCACAGAGATATCAAAGGTAGAAAGCTCTCTCTGCATGCAGCGACGGCTACACGATGGGCAGTGCACATTTTAAACCGTGAAAGTTTTTTGCCAATATCCATCCTTCATCCATCCATTATCTATACACCGCTTAATCCTGGTGAAGGCAGGTTCACCTGGACAGGTAACCAGTCTATCACAGGGCTACACTTAGAGACAGACAACCAAGCACACTCACATTCACACCTACGGACAATTTGCAATCACCAGTTAAGCTCAACATGTTTGTGGACTGTGGGAGGAAGCCGGAGAACCCGGAGAGAACCCACGCTGTATGGGGAGAACATGGAGACTCCACGCAGGAAGATCCCGGGCCCTCATGACCCTAGTGAGGATTGAGCGATGTATAGATGATGGATGAATGGATGATTTTGACTTCATTACTTGTCATCACATGTCCAGAATGCGACTCCAGCATACGTGCTAGCTACATGTTTACTGTTGCCTGCCATAACAGAAGCAAACTTGAATTACGTCTGCTTGTATTTTGACCGTTTTTCTTCTCCGTCTCTTCCCTGCAGCTGCCAACGTGCTGCTGTCGGAGCAGGGCGACGTGAAGCTGGCAGATTTTGGGGTGGCGGGCCAGTTGACAGACACCCAGATCAAGAGGAACACGTTTGTCGGCACGCCTTTCTGGATGGCTCCGGAGGTCATCAAGCAGTCCGCCTACGACTTTAAGGTGAGGAGTGTGTGGACGGGGCAGGAGACGGGCTGCTGTAGGTCTGTTAACTTGTTGTAGCTGAAAAGACTGAGTTCCTAAAGAGATGTGGTTTAGTTA